CAGGAAACAGCCTGACTGCACATCAAGCTTAACCACGCAGAAAGGATTTATCTCAAGGGCCTTAAAAACATCACACTTTGGGTTCCAGCTGTGGTAGATACGTGTGTAGAAAACCAGCTGTCTTGCTGAGAACAATTAGGAAATCTTGATAAAATTTAGCAAAAAAAAGTCTGTTGGGGAGGTGTTGGAGAATGACGAAGGTGCCAGGACTTGAGGGACCCCTAGGTTTGGGGTCCCCGGAGGACTGACCCCCTATGGGGCACCCCTGGCACAGCCCTGAGTCCACGAAGGCGCCTGCCCCCTGGACGGCCTCCCAGCCATGGCCCCTGCGTGAGGTCCACCATCCAGCAGAGGCCTCCTTCCATGGTGATGCTCTCGGCCTCAGGCCACATGGGCCCGTGGGTTTGCTGTGTGGGCAGTGCTGTCCTCAGCGGGGGCAGTGGCTACGGTCATCTGAGGGCTGCACCTCTGCTCCTTTTTGCTGAACACAAGAGGTTTGTCCCCTCGTCTGCTTTGAATTTCAAGATAAATGAAATGCTGTGTCTGAAATCAAAGCAGCGGTACCACATGAGGCTGGATGCCCTGTGTGCAGAGTGACGTGATTTTCTGTTGCACGGAATGGTCTTAGCCTTACCTTCTGTTGCACGGAATGGTCTTAGCCTTACCTTCACGTCAAGGCTGTTGGTTAGATTTCAGAACGAAGGCAGGAGCACTGGACACCCTGAGGGTCTGGGGCCTCCCTCCTCTCCCAGCCTTCCCTGGAGACTACCCTTCACCCTACTCGTTTTGCAGATGAGGGTTCAGGGTCGGGGGCTGGGGTGCAGGCAGCAGGGCTTGGAGCTGGTGGCTCTGGCTGTCGTGCCCCTGGCACCTGGCTCTGGAGTGGGTGACAGGAGGCATGTGCTGTATTTTCCCTCCAGCAAGAAGAATCAAACAAAGTGAGCATGCAGAGCACTCCTGGGGTGGGGGGGGGGGTAGCCCGGCCCGCTGGGGGGCACTGCAGCCCAGCCCCTGTGTGCTGTCGTTGCGCAGGGCTGCTGGTCAACCTCTCGCTCATCCCTGTCATGGGCGGCCTGGCGCTGTGCACGGCCACGGAGATGAGCTTCAACCTCCTGGGGTTTTCGGCCGCCTTGTCCACCAACATCATGGACTGGTGAGTCCGAGGGGGCGCGTCCCGTGCCGCGTGGGGTTCCGTGTCCCGCAGGAGGGGGGATAGATGTCACGCCCCAGTCGTGGCTGAGCCGTCTCTCTGACACCTCTGCACAGCCTGCTCTCTCAGTGTCACCACTTCTGAGGAAAGAGAGGAGACAGCAGCAACACGGTATCCGAGGGTTTCTTGTTGCCGTTACTCCAAAGAAAAACAGGCCCATCTGGAGGGTTTGAATAATACAGCTGAAAAATGAAAGATCACCTTTAATTTCATTTCTCACACTTTGCTGTGTTTCCTTCAGCCTTTCCCAGAAACACAGTCCAGCTCACGTCATAGTTTGCATCTCGCCTGTTAACTCTGAGCGCAGGATGGTCTCCAGAAGCCTCCTCGCTCACTTGCAGACGCTCCAGACCTTATGACTTAGATGTGCAGGAAACATCTTCACACGGGTTTCCCTCTAGGTTTCTGACGGGCCTGCAGCGTAAACGCCCAGGAGGGGGATGGGGCCTGTAAACCTCTGCAGCAGCCTCGTTGCTCTGGTTTAAGTCCCCTTGGCCAGAGCTTCTGTGCACCCAGTGTCCAGGGAG